AAAGAAGGCGGTGGAAGGTGAAGAAGGAAAGAAAGCGGCTGAAGGTGAAGAAGGAAAGAAGGCGGCTGAAGGTGAAGAAGGAAAGAAGGCGGCTGAAGGTGAAGAAGGAAAGAAGGAGGCTGAAGGTGAGAGAAAAGTGAACAGAGCGGAACAAGGTGAGATCTTCAGAGTCTCCAAGAACGGTACGTATTTCATGCGAGAACTGGCTGGCAAACTACTCACTGTGGAGAATGTGGTCGATGCCGCCTTACCGTGGGCAAAGAAGAACAGTTCATGGATGAGGGAGTTGGATAAGTACATGTCCCAACTCCATGAAGACCCACTCAAGAAGCTGATGCAGGAATGCGCTGCTCACCCATTGGTTGACCTCCATGTCAAGGAGACAAGGGTGCAGATGCAGCTGAGTGACGAGGAATGGACATTCCTGCAGGAGGACGGTGACCCATTCCAAGACCTTCTTGGGATGTTGAACTGGCTAGTTCTGCGAGCAGCTTTGGAGTTCAAACAGAAAAACAAACCTGATGCGCAGGCTGCAAAGGCTCAAAAGTTGGAGGTGCCAACTGGAGCTCCAAAGAGTTTGGGGCCCCCTAATGCAGTGGCACCGGGTCAGAAGCGGCCACCGCAAGAGACCCCACACAATCCAAAGGAAGGGAAAGTCCAAAAGTTTGCTGAGGATTTGAAGGCCAAAAGTGAAGCACTCGTCAAAAAGGGAGATGTCTTGCTGAAAGAAGCTGAGGAGGGTCTAGCAGAGCCTACGAAGGAAGCAACGGATGATCTCGAAGAACGTCGGAAAGCAGCACACGCTCGCTACATGCGCTACTTTCGAAGTGTACGCAGCCAGATCCTTAACATTGCAAGGTTCACTGAACCGTCATGATGCAGCAGTGTGAGCTATCTTTTTGGACATTAATTAAATTGTTTGGGTCATGTTGAATCGAAATTATGATTGCATTATTTGCACTATATTCCACTCAGACCCTGCAACACCACCGGAGCTTAAAAAGATGGCGCGTGAAGCCCACGGGAGTATCTGGGCATCATTATATTGATGCAATTCACAGAAGCATGCTCATATAGTTCAGCTCATATATTTTGTTTGCCGTTGGAATTCGCTCAACCAAACCAGGCAAAAGCCTCAACAGCGTCTTATTTGACGCCTGGTCCCAGTGTGCTGGCGTGTGGGAAGAATCCAGTTTCCTCATGCAGATCCGATCCAGGTTCACATGCAAGAGGCGCGGCGTTCGCCGCTGGTTGTTTGCCAAAGAGATGGACTCCCGCTTCGGACACGAGATCGCAGAGGCAATGAGGGAGCGAAAAACTCACGATGAGGAATTGTGCAAAAAAGAGATCCGCTATCATCCAGAATGCCCGAAGCAGAAGGCGCTCATGCAGATCGATCATTTTTGCATATTTGGCATTTGTTCATTTTTCACCCAAACATGTCACATGGCCGTGAAGCACTGGGCAGGAGTATTTGCAGTATCTATGCCTCATCGAGGACAGTGAGGAAGATGAGCACTGTGAGGAGGTGGACCAACTCTTCTCATGCCTTGACCGTGACAATGACTCATCGAGCAGTTCTGCTGGCAAGACCAAAGGTAAGAAGCAAAAGGCGGGGAATGTGCACCAACATTATACGATTAAAAGTCAGTGCAATGCTCCACCTTGTTTGATCGTTCAGGGGAAGACTGGAACAGACAAAAAGAAGGAAAAGGAACCAAAGAAGGTGAAGGACAAGACAAAGAAGACCGGCAAAGACAAGACAGAGAAGACTGAGGCTGCGAAGACCGAGTCACCAGAACAGAAGTCGGCGAGGGAAGCTGAAGAGAAGTTGGGGAAGGATGCCAAGAAGGCGATACGTTCATTCAGATGAGTTAGGGGCATTAATTTGATATTCCTTAAAATTGTACTGGATTACATATATATTTGGGTTGTTTGGTCAGTGAGGATCTAGTCGGTCTTGTTTTGTTATCACGCACGCAAATGAGGCGATTTCAGATGCCAATTCCAAGATCAAGTGGGGCCTGGATTTGTTGCAGACGAACCTGGCCAGCTTGTGCGCTCCTCATAGATCTAGTTCCAAGTTGTTTGATGACCATCTATCGCTCGACTTCCAGGGCACCAAAGTTTGGCGAATCGGTCAAGGAGGATATCACTGAGAAAAAAGCGCTTTTGGAGGCACTAGTCTTCACTTATTTCATCTTGGTCATTATACAATTTATTTGATATGAATTTGTTCAGGAAAAGCGAGCAAGTCTTCAGAAGGAAATTGACTCCAACAAGGCATTGCGCAACCAAAATAGTGCAAAGTCCAGAAACCAGTCTAATCCTCAATCTCAGTTAACTAGTTCCGATTCCATGCTGCCTGCACATTGCTTCGAAATAAGCTCGTGCAAAAATTGCGACAGGTGACGCGTGGAACTGTCGATGACTGTGAGAGTGCCCGCAAGGATTTTGAGCGAGCCGTGGAACCACTTAAGGTGAAGAAGGCCAAAACAGCTAAGAAATAGCTGGATGGATCTAGAGGAAACCTTGGCCATTTAATACATAATATATTTTATAATGGTTCTGTTCATGTTTTGAATTTCTCATGCCACCACTCCAATGGATTGAACATTTTGTTGCTGGTATGTGGCCAGGGGTGCAGCCTGCACTCATGCTTTCACAAGGTTCCCAAAGGGGTCAGCACACACGCTGCTGTCGGGGTAGGTGAACCCAGCTGGGCTTAGGAATGCAGGCATTTTTCGAGGCCTAAGGCCTTTCATTGTTGCGCATCTGTGGGATCATCATATCGGATCGAGTGGTGAAAGTCTGAAGAAATGTCTCAATCAACATGCAGCGCAGTTTGTTCCCACATGCACTACAGAATGAGCTACCCTTTCTAACCCATTGCAGGTCCGACAGCAGGCCCACTGGAGCGAGATCTTTCAGACAGAATTTCTTCAGGTGAACCTTGGCAGTACCATATATCGAAGCTATAGAAAGGTTCAGCAAAAATATATCGATCGAAATCGACCATCGTGCGAGGATTGCAGTATTAAATCTGCGATGCGATCGGCCCTAGCGACGCACAAGGACTGCACTGTATTGTACTTTCCATGGTTTCACACTGTGAAATTTATATATAGTATGTGTTTTATATTACAGGAAGCTCGAGGGCACACAACGACATGGACAGCAAAATTGGCAACTTACAAGGGTAAGCGAAATGCATCGCGCGATTTCTTTCGGAACACTACTTTGCCAGTTGATCCTTCATTATGATCAATCGTAAAGTTTATTTTTTGTTTCGAGTGTAGCGATCGAAAGTTGCATTCAATTTGCAATTTCCAGTGCTGAGGAACCTGACCTGGTGACTGTGACATGCAAGGATTGTGCAGGGAAACCCTATGAAACACAAATGGACATACTGCTACCGGACAAGATCCTGGAGTACCTGATAGCCGAGTGCAAATTCACACTTAGCGATCAGCTAGTGCAAAGATATTGGGCACATTTGGAGCATGTTCAGGATGAATGGGCGATGAACACCGCTTTGTTTCGCCAACATGCCACAAACAGTGTGTGGCCATTGGGGTTTTATGGAGATGAAGCTTGCATAGGACTACAGGGGAATCCAACATTGCAGATCTGGGGACTCTGGATGAACATCATCCTCTATCGGCCTCGGGCCACCAGGCTGTCAAGGTTTCTTCTATTTGCAATTGAATCGGACCAAGTTGTGAGTGTCGCAGAGACGATCTTCCCTGTACTCCAAGTGCTCACTACTTCTTTCAACAAGATTGCTGAAGATGGTGTGTGTGGCCGCCGGTGTCTTGTGGCGGAAATCCGCGGGGATCAAGCATTCCATCGATATATATTCATGCACCAGTCCTGGTGGAGGAAGACATGCATGTGTTTCAGATGCAGTGCCCGATCTGACATGAGCCGACTTAGCTATCTCCATCCCGAATGTCATTGGAGGGCCACGATTCGTTCGACACAGGAATTTGTGAGGCAGGAATTGCCAACAAACAATTTATGTGCCTTAACTGCACGCAGGATAGTGCACCACTTGCTTGTGCATGCGCATGCATGTGCATGTGTGTGAAGATTGTGGCAAAGCATAACTGTTCAGGTCCGTTGATCGATCTTCACTTTTTTTCTGTGTGCTTGCTGAAACATTGCTCTCTCCACATTATCAATCTGGGCCTTCTCGGAGTGTGTAACGGGTCGGTGCTGCGACTCAGATGAACTAGCTATGATTTAAAATGCGTTTCGATGTTTCCCATAATACAACATAATTGATCTCTGTCTAAGGGGAATGCTCCTGGAGATGGGATATTTCGGAGACACTTCAGATGGATATCAGGAACCTCTGAATACAGCCTTTACCCAGTTCAATGCTTGGCGACGAATTCACAAAGTTCCCTCATCCCAAAGGAGCTTTAGTGCCAGGGCATTGCAGCGTGCCAATTACGGGTATTATTTGAATGCAAAGGGCTACAACAGTCGAGTAATATGTGAGTGGTTGCTAGGCACAGTAGTTCATGTAAACCAGTCAGACCAGTATTGCAACGCCGACAACCGATCACGGCTATGCGAAGCAGCATTGAATCTCGTCAACACTTAGCAGGGGGCAGGGAGAGGACAACAGCATGAATACATCTGAAATTTGAGATATTTTGGGCACAAATTAGATGATCTATCCGGTGATCTGTAGATACTTCTGCCATGGTGGACTGTGACTCCACTCTTTCGATCCACGAGTCCATGCTGGTGATGATGTGTGTGTGCATTGCAGCTGGGACGCTCTTGTTGTGCTTCAACCAGGTGAGGCTGTCAATATGTGACGCACGAAACCCCAAGGGTGATCCAGAAAAGCATGACATCCTTGAAAAAGAAAACTTGGATTTGCATCAAAGAGTGGCTACCTTAGAAATTGAACTTGAAAAAGAGAAGAAGTTACACCATGCAGTGCCGCTTGAATTTGAACAACGAAACCGACCCGTACACGTTCGACCTCCGAATTTGATTTCAGAACAGCGTACAGTGTACAGTACAAAAACCGGTCAGTGCTGGCACGCTGATATTCATTGCCAGCACCTACGATCGACCGTTGCAAAAGCAGGTGTGTTGCATTTGGCACCCTGTTCTCGGTGTGTCCATTGAGACCGAGCAGTGCTTATTATGATCGAGGAAAAATGTGGCCACGTTCATCTTGCTAATGCTGGGATTTGGTGGATTAAAGGGTGCACCTTGAACAGTTCCAGTTTTCCTATTCACGAAGACTCAAAAGATCTATATAATTCCTCGATCCATGAATACAGGGGTTCGGAGTTCGTTGGCCCGAGTCCATCCACAAACCCTCCTCGCCATCCCACCATCCCAGGAGAGGGATTTGTCGATACTTTGGCCTCACGGAGCGCTCCATGCGCCACTTGCGGCATGGCTGCAGCACGAAGCGTCGCCACCCGGGCCGGTGCTAGTTCTTATGGTGTCCCAGGAAACTGGGCATACTATGTCCTGGAACGCTCTATTTTTGGAGGTAAAAGAACCTAGTGCCCCCAATCCCAAAATACATCCTACATCTGGATCAAAACTCCTTTGCGGATCCTTGTGGAGTTGTGCTGGGCAAGGACCCAATCTCAAGCGGAAGCTATCCATGAAGCTGGAATGGCCTTTTTGGATTCCTACAAGAGACTCAATGTATTGTCGATCAGGCCTGCCACCATGAAACTTTGGAGTGTTTTGTACATGCACCAAACTGTTTACCGTTCACTGGCTGATCCCTGACAGCTCTGACCGCCTTGCTTGGGTTGTCATCCCAAAATGGCATGTGCCTTGGAAGCACTGCTACACATGTGTTGATTTTTAACCTTCCAACGTCGAAATTTGACAGTTCTGATTCGAGAATGAGACATTGTCGTTCGTCTATGTTTTACTTACCTTCATTCTATGCCCTCCAGTAACGGATTTAGTTTCAAACATCGAGTGGGGCTCGCCAAGTCAATGCACCATATGGTGGACAACGTCTTGGCAAAGAGCTCCTGGGCTTTACACTATCTAAGTCTATGTTAATCCTGTGAGGTGCTAGATCCAGATTATGCATGTGTTGATCTATGTTCCTGTGAACTCAGACCGTAATGTGTGCGACCCAAGGAATGAATCCACGCTTTGAGCACACATTCTGCGATGAGAGCTCGATGGGCCTGCTTAAAGCATGGACCATAAGATCTAGGAGAGCAAAAAACAAACAAAGCGCTGTACTTAGGCTGTCTCGAGTTCTCCTAAGGACCTTGAGATGGCGTTTGAGTGAGACTTTCAACAGGGATGAGAAGAGATAAAACACCGTTCTGGAGGGCATAGAATGAAGGTAAGTAAAACATAGACGAACGACAATGTCTCAGACGTTCTTCAATGTATAAGTTAAACTTCGACGTTGGAAGGTAAGGGTATATGTATATTATATGTTATATATTGTATAAGCATCCCTTGATATCCCTTGCCATATCTTTCCATGACGAAACGTCCACCAGCTTCTTCAATTCTGCGGCGCCGTTGCACAGGACCAAGCGCAGCTCCAGGAGCATCTCGTATGCACGCACGGTGGCATCAAGGATGCCACCCCATCCAGCCTCTGCTGTGCAAAGGGTCTCGCCTGCCATGCTGATGCAGTAGACCTGATGGCGGTTCAATCACCAGGTTCACTCATCCATTGCCTTCCCGAGACACTCCATGTATCATGGAATAATTGGCTACATTGACCCCTGGTCAGCCACTCCAACTGATCGGTTTGTATGCCATTTGTGGAGTGTCTGGGTTGGGGTTCCAAATGCCTCCTGAGAAGATCTGAGAAGGTATATCAGTGGTGTGGGTTCGAAACTCCAGGGTGGAATCTCAAGGGATGCGGGACTTGTCAATCTTCGCATCCTGGGCCTACCACGATCGACACTTTGTATATAGAGTATTCAGCGCACATTGTACCCTCAACTTTTTTAATGGTAGCATATGGATGCATATTTTTATGTTTATGCTATCTTCTTTAATACGCGACCACCAGCTCTGTAAGTTTTGGTCCCCAGCTCCTGTTCTGCCAAACAAAGGTGAAGCTCTGTTCACACCATCATCAGCCCAGCGGCCTTGAAACGCGCGCCACCAGTCTGGTCAATCAAGCCAAGGTCTGCTCCCCGTCTTAAAGCTTCCTCTCTGGCTGACTGCAGGAGCTCCAACTGGCGTAAGGTCAGAATCAGGTCCTGACAGGATTCTTTTGGGCCAGGATGCCATGTTGGCAGTAGCAAGAGCACAAGGAGAGAGAGAGAGAGGGGCACGTTGCATGGCAATCCCCGAAATCATCGTTGATCCCCTCGGACCGAAAGAACGCCATATTACGCCTGGTCCTATGTTGGCCTTATGTTCACCTCACTGTGCACTGCGTGGCCCAAGAGATGTCTGTTCCACGCGAACCCGCAACTGCACTACCATGTCTCCATCTGAGTTCGATTCCCCCAGAAAAGCTCCTGCGGTTCTTCCGAAGATGGCACCGCAACCTCTGCTGTAGGGGCTGAAGAGGCCGACGCCGACGTCTCAAGCCAAAAAGGTACCGCATCCAACGCTGCGGGTGCGTGGCTGTGCGACACGACTAGCCGTAGGCTTGGCCCATCCAACACCACCGAAGACGAAAGGATCTGCACACCAGCGTGGTCCTTGCTCTCCAAGAACACGGAGCTCTCCTCAGCCGGCACAAGTCTTTGATCACCTACAGTACGGGGTCCAGTTGCTTGCCCTGACGATCATTCGAGTAAACCTCCCTCCAACATGATCCTAAGACATCAACGCACCCAGCCCAGTTGGTGCGAACTCCACAGTTGCAGCTGAGTCTCCATTTGCCACTCACCGTCCCCCAAGCAGGCCATCTCCATGCCGGACAGCTCCCCAACCAACGCCCTTCCTTCGCCAAACTCATTGAACAGGTGAATTTCGAGACCTGGCTGGTCGCTAAAGAGCTTGGCCAAGGTGTCGCCACAGGACATGGGAATGGCCAGTTGGAAGGCGTCAGCGGAGTCCAACAGACATGCAAGCCTTGGCTGGATTGAGCTCGAGGGCCCCCGTATATAGTTAAAACGGTTTTGTTGTCATAAATTCTGAATGGTTCTGAGAGTGGAGAGTCCAATGTCCAAGTATCTTGAGAGCGTATATAGCTGGTGGATCGTGATCGCTGCTACGGACGTCCATGACAGGATCTTGAAAGGGTACATGAAGGAAAGCCAATCAACCTCCCTGGCTGCCTCACGCAAACTTTCCTGAACTTTGGGGCATCACTAGCCTGAGAAGTGTCAATCATTGCCACATGTTGCCACACTTTCCCATGTCAAATAGTGGGGTAGCAATAGCAAGAACAATCCAAGAGTTTGCATCCATAGGTCTCGAGCGAGAGGTCCAAATGGTCTATTTGTTCTCCTCCCAGCGACCCAGGATCGACCCGTGTTTTCTGCCAAGTCGCTGCCCTTGACATGGCCCTAGGAAGCAGGACTTCTCAAACACGCGATGCCCTGCCAGACGTAGTTGGAGCTTGCAGAAGCCTAAGCCCTGGAGGCCCCAAAGCCCCAGGAGTTTGACCTGCCAGGCAAAGGACGCCTGCCTCGGGATGCCTGCTGGGTTAATGATGGATAGAAAGAAGATATAGATCTATGTATCATGCTTCGGTAATCTACTCATCTCCATGTTCATAGATGATTGAACCTAGCCTCACTCTTTGTCACGATAGTTTGGACCCCGGCGCGGCATGGCTGTTTGGGGCTTGCGGGAACAATTGAGGTGTGGTGGGTGGTTTCATGGTGCATTTCTTGATTGATGGTTTTGAGGCTGTGAATCTCTTTCACTCTCGGGAACAAGCCCCGAAGGAATTCTGGTAAACTGAGGATCCAAGTTCGCCGCGTGGTTGGTCTGTCTAACCCTCATGAAGCTTACTTCAAGATCAGGCAACCACTTGAAAGGGTCGAACAGGGAAGGGGCGAACCGAACCCCTTCCCTCGAAGAAGACCGACCTCTGGCACCACTGAACCATGGACGAAGCCATGTTTTGATCCCAATTTGGGACTATTTCTGATAGAGGAAGCTGCACCCCCCTTCCAGGGGGCTTTCCCCTCCGGATGAAACCTCCCCTATCGTTCTTCGCTGTTCCGAGCCTCCAGGCAGTGCATCTCACAGGGCTCGATCAAAGCCAAAAGGCTCCGCGTGCGAAGCTTGGACGCACCGACACCCAGGGGCATGGCCGTCGAGGCGTCCAGTAAGGATGCGAGATCCTTGGGCTCCACATGTGGCCGCAAGAGATCCTGAACGAGATCAGGAAGGAGAGCTGGCCTTTTTAGTGGGCACCCGAAAGTGGAGATTCATATAGAATCTGCATCTGGGATTAAAGACTGAATCATTGTTATTGCATCTAATAGAATCTAAAGGAGGTACCTGGCCTGGACCTTCCGGGAATGTTGTCCTTGTTTCTTCATTGATTCCGACACATGCAGCCTCAAAGAGGGTATCTTGATGATCTTTCGAAGCTCCGAATCGAAACTGGCCCTCAGGTGATGAAGCACATCCGGAGGGCCGAGCGTTCTTCGCAAGCAAGGGAGTTCTGGGACCAGTGAACTTGATTGATCTTGGACAAAAGGTCCAAACAATTCCCCCTTGAATGCTATCTTTTTCCTTGGAGCGCCTTAGGTGTGCGGATCGTGTGATCCCGGAGCTGCGGTGCGAAGCTTCCTCTCAACCTACACGATCCGCATCACAGCAACATCTGGTGGGTGTGGGCAGGTTGGGTGTCCACGGTGGACACCGTAAAGTCCGACATGCCGAGCGCGTGAGCGGAAGACCGGACCCGACGGCACAGGTGTTGGACCCGGTGACAAGTGCGGTGTCCAGGTTCACCACCTGTTAGGCTTCTAAAACCACCGGACTTGGAAGGTCCTGGTGTACCTTCACCATGCATGGGTTCGTTGCGGTTTGCTCCACAGCCAGTCACCACTTCGCGGCAAAACACTATTAAATCATTAAATATACCTTCGACTTGTTGATGCCACACTACCTGGACCCAAAATGCCCAAAAGAACATGGTGCATCATCCTATCAAAAACAGCTGCTTGTACCCATTTTTGTCCGAGGTACAGGGTCCGGCTGTACTGACCCATTCACTCAGCCGCCTGTCCCACCGGTCACGCCACCGGTCCTGAGCTTCCTCCAGCTCCAGCCATTCGGGCGGAGCTCGAGGCCAGGTCTTCCGCAAAAGCTCGGTCCTGCCCGCATCAGGGCGGTCCGGTGGGTTCCAAAGTGGGGTTCAGAGGGTCCCAGGGCGGATGTCCATCTGTACCAGAACATGACCCGAACGGGGAAGATGCTGCCAGCATTGTGGCCGGTCGAATCGGCTCGAGCGTTCGAAGAAGGCCTTGGCGAGGCGGCCGGCACGATGGTGCGGGCTAGCACTAGGTGGTTCATA